GTTGCCTGCCCTTTGGGCGGGGGGCTGGACTCGATGATCTTCCGAGGTCCCTTCCAGCCCTGATGTCTGTGAAATCTATGCCACCAAGCATGCCTGGAGGACAGGGCACAGAGCCTCCAGGTAGGGCACAGAAGCCAGCAGGATAGTTGATAGCAGAAGGTGGGTTTCCCCCTTGGGGTGGGGGGGGTGTCCATAGTAGAGCCCTGCCCAGAGCTGAGCGGTGGATCTTGCTTTCTGTTCCCCCAGCCTGTCCCCTCCCTGTAGGGTCCCTGCATCAGCTCTGGAGACTCGTTAGCAGCCTGGTCCTCCAGTACTTGATGTTTCTGTGGGGAAGAGTGACCAAGTCAGATGGACTGACTGCTGGGGACTGAACATATACAGGACCCCTTGCCTAGTGCTAAGATGCAGCAGCCTTTGGGGTGGGATGTGTTAGAGGCTGGTTATACAGAAACCCTCCCCACCCGGTGCTGAGATACAGCCATCTCTGCGGTGGGGTGTTAGTCCTGTTCTCACTCACCCAATGACCAATGCCAGAAGGAGCACAGCACTCATGATGAGCACCAGGGAGACGCCAGTGCGGGCGATGTCTGGGCCCGGAGCCTGGGGCTTGTACCTCAAAGAGAGTCGCTCCTGGGAGTCCACTGCAGGGATTGGGACAAGGAATGGGATTTATGAACTGTCAGTGGCCCACTGCTGCCCCCTGCTGCTGCCAGCACCTACCAGTCTTGTGCCCCTGCTGACAGGCATATTGGCTCATGGAGGCTCCAGGACACCAGCTTGGATGGGCATCCACACTGCTCCCCAAATAACCCAGCACCCCCTGCCCCTCTCACCAACCTGCCCAGCATCCCACCTACCAAGGCAGCTGCTTCTCTGGAGGCAAACAGCCTTGCCCTTGACACACGATTTACAGTCAAACACATTGTACCGGAGCCAGTCTGCAACAGGGAGAGAGCAACCCCAGCTCCATCTCTGCCTGCCCCACAGCAGCCTGTGCCCTCCTGGGCACTGACTAGGAGGGAGGCTGACTCTGCTCCCTGGCACTGATGTCTGTTGTTCTTACCACACTTCTCAGGGTCACAAGCTGCAGAGTGAGAGAATGAGAGATTGGTGGTTGCTCAGAGCAGGCACAGGGGTGGGGCAGGGTGCAGCTGGGGGAGAGCCCAGGGGGGTTGGGAACCTTTCTCCTGATGCTCCTGAAGTGCTGATTTCAGCTCCAGTGTTGTTTTCCTCCGGTACTCCACCAGCTCATCTAGCAGTGCCTGGTCTGAGGATGAGGTGGGGGTGAATGGGGGCAGGAGTGCTGGCTGGGGAGAAGTGCTGGCTGGGGAGCTCCTAGTTACTCCTGCCCTAGCACAGGATGCTGTGGGGCCGGGTCCTCACCTGTCAAGGGGCTCTGGGCCAGGGCAGCTGTGGTCTGTCTGACTGAGTGAATCAGGGAATTCACTTGGTTCAGAGCTGCAGGGAAGGGGGAACACTAGTACATGATCCAGAACCCCCACCCCCACAGCACCAGGACACGATCCAGGTTGCTCCCCCTTCCTTCCCATCATAGCACCCCTGCCCTGTTTCCCATGACATGGCAACCCCTTCTGTCTTACATCTTTGAGCATGGCACCCTCACCCAACCCTTGCCCCATCCCTCATGGCATGTCGCACCCATGACCCAGAAACACTTGAATACGGTTATCCAAGAGCCCAGAGTGTCAGCACTCAGGGTAGCACCCAGGCATCCTGGCTTCCAGTCCCCTGAATATAATCTCCAGGCCTCTCTTCTGCTTGGCCTGGGGTAGAACCCACGTGTCTGGAAGAGGCCTCTGAACCACTCTGAGTGCTCTAATCAGAGCCTGTTCTGTAGGTGAGGTTGTGAGGGCTGGGCACCTAATGGGGATACTGTTAGGCTGTTGTGACCCTTTTCCTGGATTCCCTATGGCAGACCCTGCCCTCATCTGTACCTGCCACACCCGCAAACTGGCTGGTAGCATAGTGCCGGAAGAAGTCACCCTCCATGCCACGCAGCAGGGCCTGGGCACGGGCACGCAACCGGCTATCGTGGATCTGCCGGGGCACCAGCCCAGTGCGCAGAGCTGCCAGAGCCCCCCGCACATCAGCATCACACTGCAGGCAGCTGTGGGTGCCCACAGTCAGCAGCCCAGCCCAAAGCAGCAGGCGTAGCATGGCAGTGGAAGGCAGAACCCTGGCAAGGCGTGACTTCACAGTGCTGCCCAGCACCAGATGTGACACAGGGGAGGTGGGCCATGAGTCAGAGACAGGGAAGGATGCTGAGGTAGGTAGGCCTGTGGGGCTGTTCTGAGCAGGAAGGGGTTGTTACAGATTTATTGCTCTTTCCTCCTCAATAGGGGTATGGCACACAGTGCACCTGCAAACAACAGGCATTGCAAAAAAATTGTGCTGGAATTGGGGTCCTACCTTGCAAGGTGCTGGCCAGGGCCCTTAGTGCTGGGATTGGGAGGCCCTTCTTGCCAAGCATGGACCAGCCCTGGGATTGTGCCCCCCACCCCCAGGTCAAACACTGCTCTTAGAGTTGTGATAAGGGCTGCCCTTACTCCAGCAGCTGCACAGGTACCTTGGGGCTGTGATTCGGGAAACCTCTTGTCTTAGGTATTTGTCAGGCTCTGTTACCCTGGGACCAGGGTCCCCCTCACTCCTCTCATGCCATGTGTTGCTCAGGGCCCTCAGAACCAGCACTGGAGGTCCCTTAATGCTAGGCACTGCCCAGATCCCTTTTGGCTGGTATCAGGGGATCCCTTATATGAGGTGCTGCTCAGAGCCCTTTTGGCTGGGGTTGGGGGTCACCTTGCCCTGGGCACTGCCCGTGCCCTTTCAGCTCAGACTGGGGGGACCTCCTCACACCAGGCGCTGCCCAGATCTCTTTTGGTTTGGATTGGGGCTTCCCTTGTGCCAAGCAATGCCTAGGGCTCTTAGGTCTGAAACCATACCAGGTGCCACCCAGGGCCCTTTAGACTGGGATCTCAGGGCACCGTTATGCCAGGAGCTGCCCAGGGCCCTTGAGGCCAGCACTGGTCCCCGCAATCCCCCTGTTTGTAGCAGGTTCCGGGGACCCTACATGCCAATCATGCTCAGGGCCCTAGCAGTGAAGGGTTGTGCCCCCCTCCCCTTGCACTACTCATTGTCCAGTGCCTTGGATCTTGATAGGGGGCCCACATCTTGCCAGTTGGAGCCCACGGCACTTTAGGCTCTGATCTGCCCCTCCCTGCCATGCTAAACACTGTCCAGGGCCCATAAGTCCAGCGTTTTGAGCTCCCCTCATGCTGAGGAATGCCCAGGGCCCTTGGGGCAGGGATCAGGAGCCCCCATGCACCGGATGCTACTTGTGGCCTGTGGGCATGAATTAGGGACCTCTCACACTGGATAATGCCTAGGGCTCTTGTGTCAGGAATAAGGGGCTCCATATGCCAGGCACTGCCTAGGGCTTCTGGGGCTAGGATGGGGGCTCCCCTTTATACCAGGCATAATCAATGGCCCCTGTGGCCAGATTGGGGGCCCCTTCATACTGGATGTCTAGGGCTTTTGGGGTTGGGATAGGGCCCTTTTGTGCATGACCCTACCCAAGGCCTTTGTGGCCATGATTGAGGCCCTCCCATGTTAGGACTGTGGGGGGGGGGAGGGTGT